TTCAGCTTTGAGCAGATGGCCATAAATGGAAAGAGCAACTGGAGAGAGCCGGTGTACCTTGGGGAGAGTGTGGATGATGTGCAACAGGTGTTTCTGCTTTTAAAAACCTTTGCAAGGGTGAGGAATACAGAGTCGGCTGGGAACAGGATTGTAGTTTTAATTGCCAAGTTGGGGGTTTTTTCAGTGTTGCTGCTGTGTTCAAGTTGCTGTGATCTGTGCTGTATCAAACTTAAATGTGCTCTCTTCAAGTTACCTTATTTTTGATTAATTACTTAGTTTTCATAAACTTTCAGAACTTGAAAAACAGAGATAGTTTTACCTTCTTCCCTTAGTTATTGCTTAACGCCCCCCCCCCATACTGTTTGTTGTGCTTTGAGTTTTGTATTTTAACAACCAAGCCTGCTAAACCCAACTCACAGATACCTTTAATGTCAGAAAATGAAACTGGATATATCTGTTTTGCAAACTAATCTTGTATTTTTTTAAAATATTTATTTATCCAAATAGACTGAAAATCTGAAGAGAGGTGACCTTTAGATTTTAAAGGGAGAGGGTACTACTTCCTTGCTCTGTAATGAGGATGGTTACAAACTAACAAACAGCAATCTGGTTTGCTTTGGTTAACTTGAAGGCAGAAGACAAATCCCAGAAGTCTGCTTCTGTAAGCTCTTGAACACCTCATAGAAATGAGCTTGGTTGTGAGCCAGAAATCTAATCTAAGAAGTGGCAGTGTTGGCTCTGCTTGTCGCATGTCTTCCCTAAACATTTCCATTGACAGAAAAGGGATAAAAGGTGTGAAGACACCTGACAATTTTGGGATTTTCGTGTCCAAGATTGAGTAGCGCAGTTGTACAGCGATACGTGTGGACTTTTATAAGTAATCTGTTCTCATTAATTTTTTTTTTGTCCTTCTGCAGTGGAAGCATCAGTTCACGGAAGCAATGTGCACTGCACGGATAAGACAATTGAAGCTGCAGAGGCCTTGCTTCATATGGAGTCTCCTACCTGCCTGAGAGATGCCAGGAGTCCTGGTATGTCAGCCACAGTTTCTGCTCCATGAGCCGTTTCTCCTTCCACTAATTGATAAAACAAGCAAATTGGGAAACCTATTTCTGTGGAGAACTGTATGCTGTTATAAACATTTGCTTGCTTATTTCAGAACTACTGATTTGTTTGAGTTTTTACGTGATTTCTCCACCCTGTAACAAGCGTACTTGTAGATGAAATCATTTATCTGAGAGAGGTGGCTGAGTAGAGATCCTTGAGTAGCTACGCATTTAAAATTAACTTTTCCATCTGAACAGGAAATACTTTTTCACTGTGCGGGTGACTGAGCCCTGGCACAGGTTGCCCAGAGAGGCCGTGGAGTCTCCATCTCGGAGATACTCAAACCCTGTCCGACACGGTCCTGGGCAGCCGGTTCTAGGTGGCCCTGCTTGAGCAGGGGGTTGGACCAGCTGCCCCCCAGAGGTCACTTCTAGCCTCAGCCATTCTGTGGTACTGTGAATTTGATGTTTTAAGTCGCTAAAATAAAGAGTTATTTTAAGGGAAGAGTATTTTTATCTGTTTTTCTATTTCAGAAAGAATATCTGAATACACTGTGTTGCAAAGTGTTAGCTATTTTAAAATCCAAAACTTAATGATTGCTTTAGCTTGATGTTCCTTCTGAAGTTACTTAATGTATGTTGGATGAAATAATGGTCAAACTGAAACCCAAAAGCTACAAAATAGGAAATGGAGACTGGAATATGGATCAAAGATTAAGCTCTAATTTGTTTCATTTAAATTGAGTTTAATTCTAAAGAATATTGGTGTGATCCAGCCACCAAGCCAGAAAACATGAAATTGCTACTATACCCTTAATTGGTTTAGTGGTGGACTTGGTAATCTTAGGTTAATGGTTGGACTGGATGATCTTAAAGGTCTTTTCCAACCTAAACGATTCTATGATTCTGTGGCACTTGACTTACGCCTAACAATACTGGCAAGCATGCTTTTGGGAATTTGATTGATTTTCTAGCTGACAGGTTGTTGGAGCAGAATCTTGCTATACTACTGCATATGCTTTGTTTAAAGTAATTTCATGTAATACACGTTAAAATAATCAGGTAGAAACTTAATCAGATACTTTTTTTTTTTTTTTTTTTTTCCCCCCCTCCCCCCTCATAGTGGAAGTTTTTGTCCCTCCTTGTGTGTCAACCCCAGAATTTATCCATGCGGCCATGAGACCTGACGTGATCACAGAAACTGTGGTGGAGGTATCAACGGAGGAATCTGAACCAATGGATGCATCTCCTGTTCCAACTTCCCCTGATATCCATGAACCAATGAAAAAGAAAAAAGGTATGCATGGCTCTTCGTAGGAGCAATCTCCAAATGTATTTCTGATGTGCGCTGCCGCAGATGGTGCAGTTGATAGTGGTGGAGATAGGTTAGATGATCTGATTTCTCTGCTCATATAATCAGACTGAATGGAGCCTGAAGTGTGAGTTCTTAGAAAATGAGTCTGCAACAAGAAAAAAGAAAAAAAGTAGCAAGAGAATGGGCTTCACCAAGCCATAAAGGCAGATGATGTCTGTTGTTGTTGTGTTTTTTAAGCACAGTTTATGAAGTGGAGGAACGGTAGAGAAGGATTCAAAGAGGACTTGTGTGGGTAACCATTGGTGTCTGAAATATGGGTATATTTGGAGAGCGGGTAGACTCGGGGTTCTTCCAATGAAATGGCAGGGTAAATACTAACTTATAAACCCATGAATCAGTTCACAAAATCAGTACAAGATCTCCCTTGTGAGAGAAGTATCTTATTTGTCTGATTGGCATGTCTTGGAGGAGAAACTATTCAGAACAGTGTTTGAGTTCTAAGCATTCAGCTACCAAATGAGAGGTTGGCACCTGGTGAGGTTTCTCTCTGGTCTAGCAGTTTTCTTAACAGGCATCAATACAGTTCACATAAATACAGCAATATTGTTTTATTAGAGCTTCCAGACTTGCGAAGATGGAATATTTACTTGTCATTTAGAGGGAAAAAAAAAAGCAATGTAGTGATAAAGTAATATAAATCTAAGATCAGTGAGGTTTAGATTTAATAAAAAAGCACACACAGATAACTGTAACTCTACTGTAAATTACATAAGCAAGAAAATTATGATTACAGCTTTTCCGTAGCTGTAGTCCTATACTGGTTTAAACTATTTCTTTATGTTCCACTGTCTGTTTGAATGGTCATTACTGGGCAGATTGTGTTACAGGGCTGTGCTCAGGAAGTTCTGAAATTTTATGAAGGTTATTTTGTAAATATTTTTTTCCTATTAGAGAGTCCAAATCCCTGCTCTTAAGTGTGTAAGGTCATTCAGTCATAGTTACAGAGCCGTAACTTTGGTCTTCATAATTAAATTCAGTGTTTAATGAAGAACATTGCTCATCAGCGAAAATTAATGCTCTTGTGCCTAAGGTAGGAGAGTTAATCGTTGCTGCTTGCCTCTAACTGAAGGCAAAAGCACGGACTGTTGACAGCCTGCTGCCATGGGGTATGTGCCTCTTCCCTGCTTGGGCCTGTTTACCTTGAGTAAAAAGGTCACCGAAGTGTGAAAGGGTGAAGCCGCAGGTCTTGCTGGGAGAGGATTTCCCTGGCACAGGAACGTAGGCAGCTCTAAGCCTGCGAGGAGTCCCCTCCTGAGCCTCCTGGCAGGGGCAGGAGGAGGCGCGGGGGAGCCCACAGCTGGGGGCTGCGGCGCAGGTGGGCTTCCAGCGCCGCCCAGAGCTGGCCCGCGTCGCTGGGGATGTTCTCTTGGTGCTCTGCCGTGTGCGAATCCGTGCGGCACCGCTCGCACACTGAGTGGAAGCTGTTACCTGTAGCTTTTAATGGACAGGTGCAAGCTGGAAACCAATGTTTACGATTTCATTAGTAAAATTCCTTAGGAAAATCGATGCTTTGATCAACACGCATACTAGAGTACCAAAAACAAAGCAGAAGAAAAAATAATACATTTCAGAGTAAACCAGACACTGGACTAAAAGAATGCAAATAAATTGAAGTTTTACTTTATGCATTCGGTGCTTACCTCACTTGCCATTAACTTGTCTGAAATTGAGTTAAATCTGCCTATGAAATAAGCAACCAAATGATGAATTAAACTGGACATGCAGCAGGAGTAATCTAAAAATTTAAGTTTATCCATACCTGTAGCAAGGAAATGGCAGGGGAAGAAAATGCATGAACTGCTGCTTTCAGCAAAGACAAACTATAAAATGCTTTTATTCTGCATATGATTAATACTTTTTTCCCCCGTGTTTTATGTGCAGCTGGCCGTAAACCGAAGACCCAACAATCATCTATATCTGATGGGTCTCCAGATCTAGGTATAAAGAAGAAACCTAGAGAAGGCAAAGGTATATTTTTCTATTTATCGAGTCTTTAAAATTATGTAGTGTATGTTTATTGTATCTGTCACAGGAAATACACAGATCTTTAAAAGGTTGGTGGATGAGTTTGTACTGACTTCATTAGAGTTTTCATTTTATTCGTCTTCAAATTTGTTTGTACAAGATTTAGCACAAGGATGTGTGGATCTGCTCTAGAAGTGCCCTGTAATACACTACAGTTAATAGGCTTTCTGATTTTTCATTTGCTTTGCTTTGTGTTTATTGACTTGTGCTGTCTTTTGTGTTGTGTGTTAGCTTACTGCTAGACACATAATTTGTTAACCTACTGCTGAAAGGCTTGTTCTCAAGTAGAAGCAGTTTATGGGCATTTGTAGTGGTGATGGTTGAAAATATGTTTTCTTAGTCGATTCACAAACTTCAGTGGGAATATGTTGCTTGACTAATAGATTTGGTTTCACTTAAGGGGAAAAACAAATGATATGTTTCTTTACTGGTTAAGTGAGGGATTTTGTGCAGGAGAGTTGCACTTTCCTAATATTTCTCCTGATAAAATATTTCTCCTGATAAATAGTGGGTCCTTTCTTGGACTCCAAGCCCTTGCTCTTCACCCAGCAGGGAGACAGACTAGGGCATTTGCTCACAGTTACCTTTGAGTTGGCTCTTCCCCTGGTTTTAGGTGAAAAACGTGGATCTCTTCCCCACTTACTACACTGGAAGTTGTTCGGAGATGTTGCTATGGCTAGGAGAAACAAAGTTTACTGACTTTCAGTGGCAGCGTAATAGGTGCAGTGGTCAGCTCCACTGTTATTTTGGGATGTGTTTGAAAGCAAGATCTCTACAGTTTACGTAATTCCTTATCTGGCTACAGCTCCTGAGTCATCACATTTGTCAGTAGGGCAAGGAAGAACGGGACTGACATTGTGCAGATGTTGGCTCAAGAAAACCAGTGCAGACAGTAATTAAACTTCCCTGCAGTGGCCACTGTCGCTGTCTTTGGATTTGGGTGTAGCAGTGGACCTCAGTGAAGATCACAGATTTTGTATCTGCTGTACTTAAAAGTACATCTTGTTTAATTTTCTTCTTTTTTCTTTTAGTATTCCGAAAGCCTCCGTAGCTTTCCTTCTAATTCTGATTTCATTATTACAGCTTTCCATTATCTGAATAGTACTCGTAAAGTGTCCCAGTTCCTAGTTTGCTGCACAAATAACTTTGAGAAAGGAGGCCTGTGTTTCTGCATCTTCTAGTTTTTGTCTGTACTGGTGATTTCACTCTATAGCTGTTTATTTTATGAAGTGGGAGATGGTACTGCTTTGGTTTTTGGTTTGGGTTTTTCTTATTATTTCTCTGGCCCCTCATAATGATCTACTTATGTCTCTCGTTCTCACAAGGTATCTCATTCTATATTTTACACTACAACTGGCATAAAATACGTTTATTTTCCTTAATGTAGGCTAACTTGATGTCCTGCAAAATATTTTGTTACTGGATTTATTTTTTTGTTATCTATTTTAAAAAATTACTTGCAAATACAGGCTATTTTACATGCAGCGTGTTTTTGGAAAACCAGAAATTATTCCTAGAGCTCAGTACTGTCAGCAGAGTTAATTCATGGAGGAGGAGGAGAGCTGGTTGTGCACATTTGGAAAGGGGATCGCTTGTTGTCTGTGTAAGAACTCCTTCCTTTGTGCATTCCTGATACTTTCTGGTGCACAGCAAAGCAGCTGTAAAGCTGATTTAATTGTGCCCTGCAGTTTACTATACAGGAGGAACTGTAGACTTCTTAATGTTTTTTCTTAAAGTGAGATAGTGGTATTTTTTTTGTGCTCACATAGTGGATTGGCAGTTTAGGCATGGTTTCTCTTTCCATATTTTGTTTTTCATTTGCATAGATACTTTTTTTTATAGTGTAGGCAGTTGGACAGAGCAAAACTGGCTTTGAGCCTCTCCACATAGATGCTGGTACCTGTGTGACAGTTCCTTGATACACACAATGCCTTGTATCATTCACATAATTTCTGGCCATTAATTCATCTATTTTGAGATGACAGCTAACATTCTTAAGTAGCTGGCAGCTGTAATAATCAGCTAGCTGCAAAAATGTCTTCCGTGGCGCAAAATCTACTCTGTGTTGAAGTTAAGATAGGTAATAATGTCTAGCTCAGTGGCCGCTTGCAGTACTGGTTAGTGTGAGACCTTTCAAGAGTGGAGAAGAGAAGCCGTATGCTATTAAATAAGGCTTTTAAATAAGCAAGGTGCAGTACATGTTTGTCTACCAGGCTGGACTTACGGGTGCTTAAGAGTGGCACGAATGTAAACCTGTTCGGATAATACGTTTTCCAGCCATGTCTTTGTCTTCCTCAGGAGTCTGTAAGCTTGGATTCGTAGTATTAGGAAAGTCTGGTTCTAAGGACAAAGGGATTAAAAATGGTTCCATTCAAAAATGGTTCAACATTTCTAAAATAAGCTTTCTGTGTTAAATGCGTAGCAGCTGTAGCTGACACAGCAGCCCACCTGAGGGTATCTCTGGGTGTTACTGGCAATAGTAGATGGCTTCTGAGTAGTATAGGTATTGCATAGCCCTCCTGTGAAAAAAAAGTTGTTATTTATGTCAACACAGAGTATGAGAAAAAAAACCTGCTGAGACAGCAGCACTGTTCCCGCAAAAAAATTAGGCACTTTCAGGAATGATTTCTCTTGAAGTTCCTGTTTACTTCCTAATACTGAAGCCCGCTCACATTTTTGCAAAGAATCTGTTACAGACCTACAGCATTTGGCGGTGGACCCAGAAATTCTGTTTCTAAGGAGCTAAGAAAAGAAAAAGGATTGACTCCCTAAAATCTAGGATGATTTCAGGATTCCTGGGTTCTCTTGTTGACTCTTTCCTCATACAGGTCCTATTCAAATGTCTCTGAAATCCAGTGGAAGCTGGATTTTGGTAGCTCTTGAGTTGGTACTTGCTGTTAATTGGAGCACATGGTAAAATACATTTATTCTCTGTCTATGAGGTGGTCTTCCAGAAGATGGAAACTATAATATTCTCTACCTTTTGGGGTTTTTCAAAGGTAGCTAACAACTTGGAGTCTGCAAGAGTGGTCTTTAACCTGCCTTAATGTATTTTAATTGTCTTCAGCGTGGCATAACAAACACTATGCTGGGCCGCTAAATCTTGGGACTTAATGACCTTTTTTCCACAAAAAAAACCCCTTTAATATATTTTTATTTGGTCCGTGTAACCCCCTGGAAGTGTGATCAAGTGAAGAATTGGGATTAACGTTCTGAGGTTATTATTCTTACAGCTCTGTCTTAGTTCTTCCTTCTCAGATAACTTGAGGAGTCTTCTCCAGCTGTACAAATTGGAATGCAATCTGTTGGTTTTTTTTTTTTCTTCTGCTTCTCTTCCCCTTTTCCTAAATGCAGATGGTATAGTCAGAGTGCAGACAACTCCCATGTTATGTTTTATGCCATCCTGATAGTTACTGTCATAAACCCTGTCTTGGGGCTCCTCCAGTGGAAATGGTAGACCTCTTGAATACCTGGGAAGTAAATTAAATTCTTCTTCTGTAGGCTGACTTCATTCTGTATCCCCCTAATTACAGAAAGGTACATGGGATTTCTGCCATATGAATACTTGTAGCAAGAAGTTGGACTGGCTTTGCACCTAGAAGGACGTTGGTCACTCTGCAACATGTATTTGGGAAGGGTCAGAACATGGGGCTGCCAGCAGTCGGTGTGAGAGCCCCAGATCCTGGACAGGAGGTTATGTTACAAACTTATCACAGCTGAGATGGTTTGTTACTGAAGGTTGTATGCCTTTTAAAAATTACTTACTTAGATCCTTCTGTCCTTCGGTGTCATAAAATGCACTTCCTGTTTAAGCAAATATGAGAAGAGAATTCTGAGCTCTCATCCTGCCTCTGCTGAACAGATGTAGGTTGTCGTGACTTGGAATGCCCTCCCACACTTCTTTTCAAGAACCGAGAATGGGCGCTACATTGAATAGGCTCATGTGGTATATAGCAGATCACTTGGATTAGCTCCTTTCAGAATGTAAATATTTATGGGAGCTTTACTAAACCTAACAGAATGAATGAATATGTGCAGGTTACATTACATACCATCCTCTGCGTTAACATCTGCTTGTAATGCAGGTCGTTCAGAGTTACCTATATATGGAGAACTTTCGGTTCTCTTTAAAAGTGGATTTCTAATATTTAAATGCTTTCTGATTATAGGAAATACAACGTACTTGTGGGAGTTTCTTCTGGACCTTCTCCAGGACAAAAATACTTGTCCTCGATATATTAAATGGACTCAGCGAGAGAAAGGAATCTTTAAACTTGTGGACTCGAAAGCCGTCTCCAAGCTATGGGGAAAACACAAAAACAAACCTGACATGAACTATGAGACTATGGGAAGAGCTCTGAGGTAAAAACCCTTATTATCCTTAAGTTATCTACTATAATTTTAAATCTGATTCTCAGTTTTGCCTATAGAAGTATAACAGTTCTGAAATTTTAAAAGCTTTGCCTTCTTGCTGACTTAGCTGTTTGAAAAGCATCAGTCTTGCAGTTCCTGTTGCTTTTTATGGTACCAGTTAATTTGCAATTTAATTCCTGATGTATTTAAAAGGTCAGATTTTTTTTCAGCCTTCAGCCAGTATGCTCTGCCAGCTTCTTTCCATACCATCTCACATTGTAGATTTAACTGTGGTTCCTTCAGATTTTCTTGTTAGCATAGAACAAGGTTTTCTTTAAAATCTGTCACTATGTTGGTTACTACTTAATTGCACTTTTCTTGCAGATACTACTATCAAAGAGGAATCCTTGCAAAAGTTGAGGGACAGAGGCTTGTATATCAGTTTAAGGAGATGCCAAAAAATATAGTTGTCATAGACGATGACAAAAGCGAGTCCTGCAATGAAGATTTGTCAATGCCTACAGATGAAAAGTCATTTAAAGAGTGTCTTTATCTGCAGAAAACCTTTTAAAAGCAGCAACCTCTGCTCGTGGAGGAAAAAATACCTCTCAGTTAAGCTGTACCAGAACAGAAAAAGCTGTCACCAGAGTTGTGAATATTGCCTCACCAGCGCATGATACATCGTCATCTCGTCCCTCAACTACCACTACCACTGTCCCAGCCACGGCAGCTCCCAGGTTTGTATTAACATGGCTTGGGCTTGTCATTTGCTAATGACAAGTAATTTTTTGGTTAGGAAGTTGTCTTTTAGTTTCTTATTTTATGTTTTAAATGTTGGAAATCGTTTCTGATTTGCAAGCAGCAATATAACATGATAGAATACTATGAAAGTCTAGTTTAGGAGATCAGAGCCGACTGTCAATGTACTTGCCCTCGTGTGTATTTTAAAATTATGTAGAGAGGGAGGGGAAAAACGAGAGATGAATGCCACTAAATTTCCAAAGTTCTATTGCTAGATGTGCAAAAGGTTTGGGTTTTGTGGTTTTCTGGGGTTTTTTTGTTTTTGTTTTGTTTAAAAAAAACCCCAACAATTAAAAATCTGTAAATCCTCGATTTGTCTATCCCTGTCGTCATCTCTAATGTGCACACACATCTTCCTTTATTTTGCAGGACTGTACGTGTGGCAATGCAAGTGCCTGTTGTAATGACCTCTCTGGGACAGAAAATCTCAACCGTGGCAGTGCAGTCAGTAAACGCAGGGTCACCGTTAATAACCAATCCAAGTCCAACAACAGCAACAACTCCAAAGGTAGTAATCCAGACAATCCCTACTGTGATGCCAACCTCTGCGGAAAACGGAGACAAAATCACAATGCAGCCTGCCAAAATCATCACGATCCCTGCCACGCAACTTACGCAGTGTCAGTTACAAACAAAAACGGGCCTGTCTGGGTCAGGGAGTATTAACATCCTGGGAACCCCGCTGGCTGTTAGAGCACTAACCCCAGTGTCTATAGCTCATGGGACACCAGTAATGAGACTATCGGTGCCTGCTCAGCAGGCGTCTGGCCAGACTCCTCCCAGGGTGATTAGTGCAGTTATAAAAAGCCCAGAAGTTAAATCAGACACAGCGGCTTTAAAACAGGAACGTGAAGTGAAAACGCTGCAGCTGGTAAAAGAAGAGAAGCCGGCAGATGGAAGCAAGACTGTGACCCACGTAGTAGTAGTTAGCACGCCCTCAGCTATTGCCCTTCCTGTAACAATGAAAACAGAAGGAATCATAACGTGCGAGAAATGAAGAATAGGTTGCTTCCAGCATGGACTTCTAGACTGTTACGGTTTTGAATATACTGACATGACTGGGGGAGGGACGTGGATGCGATCACCAAGTCGAACAGGAGAGTTTTTAAATGTTAATAAACATGCATATGTTGAAGACTTACTGGAAAAAAAATTATTTTCCCGTGTTTCAGTGGGAATTGAACCACATTGATACGCTGACAAAACCTGCCTCTTCCAGTTGGGAAACAGCTGAACCTATGGAGAAGGAAAGATAGAGGGACTGAAAAGGGACCAAACAGTTCACTACGTTACCCGTTACCGAGTTACACTAAGACCTGGAACACTAAAAGGGAGTTGTGTGAGAGGTTTGCCTTGGTTTTTAGTTTTCAGGGGGAGAGGAAAGTCTCATTGTTACAAATGGCAAATTTGATGCATTTTATATGCATACCAGCAATTACTACTGTGTGCCCACAGTACTCAACTGGTGCTATGTGAAAAACTCTGCTACTAGGTATTGTAGAATGTGAAATAAAGGAGAAGATTAAAGAGCTTCTAAAAGAAGACAGAGGCCTAGAGGGAATTTTGTATCATACAGCTTAAGCAGATTCAAAATGAAAGCCTTAGACTGATTTTCAGTTATCTTTCTTGAAATAAGCTAATGGCTTGTTTGTGTAAAGCTTTTTTATTAAAACAAATTTTTTAAAAATCTTGTACCTAGCACAGTATTGTTATAGAATTACATGTAACATATTTTGTATGGTAGTTAAAAGTCTGTCTAAATTTCTTAATTGTGGACAAAATAGCAGCAGGCTTTCTGCCTTCTGCTGTAACATGCCTGTGTCTCTCACTTAGCCTTGACATCCGTGCATACATTTCAGTTTCAGCTCTACTCTGTCACTTGAAAGGTCACGCCCAGCATGAGCTTTTGTCAGGTAGTTCTAAACCTGTAAATTTTTTTTAGTTGAAGTTAAGAGGGAAGTACCAGTGTTCAGAATGAACTATAATAGTTTGTATATTCAACATTTGAAGTATATTCTATTTTGTTGTACTCTTGTTTCAAAGTGTATTCAAGTAGGTTTTACTGAAATATAGAAACGAAATTTAATGGTGTTTGGTCTGCTTTTTATTTTTTATTTTTGCCTTTCAACCTATTAACCTTCTTTTCTGCTTATTTGAAATCTTCCAGGCATTCAGCCTAAGATAGCTGATAAAGTGTGGAAGTTTGGAACTCCTCACTACTCTGGTACTCCGAACGGCTGACCAACTCTCCCACACAGTATACTGAAATACTTTTCACTGAAGTATCTGAGAAGCTTGCGGTAGTTGGTGAGGTAACTTCTGACAGGGATCTAGTTCTCTTACGCTTTTTCAGGATGGTGAGCATACGCAGTGTTCTTGCATTGTGGCTAATTACACAAGTGCTTATGGAATAACTTGAGTAGCTTAAGAAGTTATTGTCCTCCAGCTGACAGATGATAACTTTGTGTGTGCTGCCAGTTGTTTTAATGAAGACGGGGTTTGCTTAAATGAGAATCAGTAACTTCTAGAGCTCTGTGAACAACCTAACTGTTTCTCCAGCTACACCTTAAGGCTGCACGGCAAAGGAAAGGTAGAAATGAGCAGACTTGGCTACTCGAGTGTACTAATCTCTCTGACGACCTCATAGAGGCAAGTAGAAAGTACCAGTAGGTAGAAACTGTGAAAAAAGAGAAATATTTATTCTGCTGGTCCTTTTGATGATGTTGCCGTTGACATTCCAACTGTTAATATTTTGGTTTCTGCACAAATACATGACTTCAGGTAGGTTTTTTTTTTCTGAATTAAATAAGTATCTAAATAGGTTTTCCATTTATAATTGCGCTGAAGTTATGGGTATCATGATACATGAGTACAGGGTAAAGCTCAGGTGAGAACACATGGTACACAAATTACTCCATAGTTGCAGTCCACGTGCAAGAGTTTGGCTTAAAATAGATGCAGGGTAGCTTACCCTGTTTTCATGGGGACCACGCTCCTTCACAGGAGGAAATGTAGGAGAAGGAAGAGGATTTGTGTTGCCAAGAAAGAGGTAGGACAGAAAGGGAGGTAAGGGGAAGCTGGGTAATGGGTTGACTAATTTGGTAGTCTGAGGCACTAATGTTCCGGGTAAAGGGAAGTGGAGCAGTGTGAAGAGAGGCAGGTAGAACAATTGGAGCGAGAAGTTGAAGAGAGAAAAGTGATAGCATTTTTAAACCCATGTTTGTAAGTCTTCTGTAAGAAATCCTTTTCTAAATGGCTTACTTGATCGTATATGAAAGAGAGATGCTATCTCTCAGAGCATGAAATGTCTCTCTCTGGAGTATTTGTAGTTAAGACCTTTCTGACACCTAATTTAGATACACTCGAAGTCAAATGGGGACAAATGATCTTCCTGGAAATAGATCGGGTTCCCCAGCTGATGACCTCCTCCTCTTAAGTTAGAGCCAAGACTTCATCATGTAATGGCAAAAATGAAAGGAATGAAGGTGCACATCTCTGCTACTGGTGAGATGGGCAGCTCACAGCCGTGCTCCAAGACGCTGCTGTTACTGTTGGTGCTGCATCTTGCCACAAAACCGGCGATGGTCCTTTGGCTCTCCCCCCTGGCCACCCGGTGAGCGGCACACACGCTACCGGCTGCCAGAGGACATTTATCAGAAGTTCGTTAAGTGTTGCGAGAATCTCAATCTGTGTGAGGATGTGCTGTAACTGAAATGGAAAGGGTACTTAACCCGTCTTCAAACAGTGAAGACCCTTTTTGTTAACCTTCCCATGTATGCCTTTGTACTCCTCACTTTTTTTAATTTAGCTGCTAGCTAGAAGTACAGACGGGCTTTTTGTCACAGGTAGTGATTTCAGTGGATCTGCTTAAGCACAGCTTTTCGGCGTTGCTTTGTCTGCACGTGGTTCCTCTGAGTTGTTCTGAGATCTGTTTGTTCTTTGGAGGTGGTATGTCATCTAGGTAACAAGCCATGCTTCTTACAAGAGGCAGCCTCTCCCTGGGGATTTCTACAGCTAAGTGTCAGAGGGGCAGGATTCCCGCCTGTAACTGAAAGTCTCGGATCATTCTCTAGGTCTGTGCAAGCTTGCTCTTCAACATGCTGCTTTATGCTGACATAATTAATTACTGTGTGGGCAAGAAGTGTTTTTAGTGGTGCTGTTGGAGGACGTGACCTCAGGATGAGGGAGCTTTAGTCAGGTTTGTAACATCTGAAAAGGACAAAGGGACACTAAAACATTGAAGAAGTTAGTATCTGGCTATACTTGTTGACTTCTGTAATCCCATTGAAAACCAGTTATTTTGTCCATGTGTGAAAGAGGGACTAGCTTTTACATCTGAAGCTGATGGCTCATATAGAAGAGTCCAGGTTTAACTCATCTTTGGAAAGTAGTTAACTTTTCTAGATGTGCGAGTAGAATGAAACTAGTGTGAAGTGAGCATGCTTTATACAGAAGGCATCGAGACATACACAGCGATGGTATCACTGATTTTACAGATGTAAATACAAACATTTTGCTTTTTCAAATAGCTACTCTTGTAAGTTACAGGACGGACAGGGTAATGCTGTGTAATTCACAGGAAAAAAAATCTAACTGTGAGCTGCAACTCAGAATAAAGATCTGCATGTCAAAAATTGTGGGTTGTGGCAAGAAAAGTTGAAAGGGGAATCCCATCCCGGAGACCACTGTTATTGTTACTCTCTCTCGGACAAAGCCCGTCTTGCTTAGCGAAGGGTTCTGTGCCTTGACACAACTCAAGTGATCCGGGTAAACATGCAGCAGGGATCTCGGTTACGTGTGAGGATTGTCACAGCCAGAACAAGCTAAATTAAATTTCTGCCTCATAGAGACAGTTCGAATAGCAGGTATTAAGCTTATTAAGTGAAGAAGATCCAAGTGACACTACTTCTGATCTAATTGTTCTCCAAGAGAGATGGTGTTTTAATAAGCTTGCAGCAGCTTCTGCCTTTCAACAGATTAAGTAAGTGGGTCATTTCTTCCTTCAGCCAGCTTGAGGGTGAGGGAAAACTGTCACTGCTAAAGCTAATGCAGCTTTTATTCAAGATTAGAGCAAGGGATCTGTTGAGACTTTTTTAGCCTTGGTGTGCTTATAAGGCAGACAGCCACAAGAGCAGCTTTGAAGACATTTTTACTGTAAGAGTCATACTGCTACATAGGAAAAAAAATGAAAAGCCTTCCTTCTTCCTATGAAAAATATTTACTGTACTGATATTTATAGTAGGCAAAAGCATTTCAGTGCTGCAGGCCTGCCTCTTGCTGAATAAAACAAAGCAAGAGCAATATTTCACTAAAGTTTTCCAAACGAGTCTGTCTGCAAAATATATTTTATAGCAAGTACTGGAATAAAAGGGTGAAGCTGACTGGGAAGTTACCAGTTAATTTCTGTGTCTTGTCTACCTTTTATTAAATACAGCAGAAGGGGTTTGCTGTGGTGCTATAGCAGGGATGTGTGATTTTCCGAGTTTGATAATATTAAGAATTGCCTTGTGATGGGGAGAGTCCCAGCCTTTTCACAGTTATTCTACCCTCCCCTCGCCTTCAAAATTGCCCTTTAAGGACATGAAGCAGTGAACATCTACTGTCACGTGTCCAGGGTGAAATAAGAATCCCAGCCCTTTCCACTTAGAAGAGCTCTGCAGTGATGGCAATATCATACAAATCATGCTGTTTCTCCACAGTTTGGTTTCTTTTGTAGGAGAGTTAGCATTGAAGGCAAAGGTCTGAGTAAAATGGCATAAGAATCATCCAGATACCAAATATCGTCACACTGTGAAAGTGATGGTGGGAGTTTTGTAGTTGCAATAGTTCAGCTCCGGCTGGTAAACAAAGCCTACCATAATCGGTGCTATGGCTCTGTGCCCTGGCAGCGGTGAAACAGTGCCACATTGAGGGACACCCTTGGCTGTCCTTAGGAAAACGGAGCTGCTTATGCAAAAGTAAAATGGAAATTAAGGGCTTTTTTGGTGGTGGTGGATTTTTTTTGTTGGTTTTTTTTTTTTGTTTGGCTTGGGGTTTTTTGGTGGGTTGGTTTTTGTGTGTGTTTTTTTTTTAAATACAGATCTGAGTACAGTATTATCCTAGCTCTCAAGTCAGGGCTTTCTACCACAAGTGTAGTTTATTCTAGAAACTGCTAAAAGGGTCTGAATGGAAACTTCAGCTTCTGGTGTGACTTTCTGTGGTAGATGAGCAAGGAGTTGACCTATTAAAGGTACCATCTTATAGGTCTACATTGTGGTGTTGCTTTTAGAAGCGTTTAGCTACTGCTGACTAGATATATCCATTAATGGGCAACTGTATTATTTCTCCTCCTTGCAAAGACCATTTGAGGGAAGATCCTAAGAGAAGATAACCCTAAAGGAGAAGCACCGCATCTCACCCCTTCAGAGAGCAATTGAGGGCAGCCAGCACCATGAAAAGGAAGCTGTCTCAGTCTAGCCGGTATGAAATGCTTATGGCAGGGATGCTCAGAGGGCTGCCTGTCTGTGGGGTGTTAGGAGTGTCTTATCTCTGGCCCAGAGCCTCCCCCAAAGGAGTCACCCCTTCTAGCTTCCAGGGACACAATTTGCTCTTTCTGAAATTTCAGCTGAAGGAGGCCCTGGCTGGCAGTAGTTGGTAAGTCACATCTGCCTGGTAAGAGTATTCACCAAGGAAGTCGCGCTCCTTGGTTGTAAAATCCTTTCAGTGTGTGGAATTTCAAATCCACACTTGCTAGAGGAGTCCTGCATCCCAGGTTGATTAGAGAGGCCTCTGCTTGGAAGCAGGTCATCACCCTCATCCTGCAAGGGTCAGGAACACATGCAGAGCGTGTTACAGCTGTGCAACACACCACTTCATTTGTTTGCCTGAAAGGGAACATCTTTGTGTGGGAATTTGGGACTACCAGTGCCGGACTCTCTATTTCACTTACCAGCAACACAAGTACAATAATTTATGGGCTGTGTGAAGCACATACCTGTGGCATTTCTTGCTCCTGAAATGGCGTTTTAAAAGGAAGTGACAAATACAGCTGCCTGGTGTGAGGAGCCAGCTGTGCTGGGCATGCTTAGCAGCCTTCAGGGAGGAATACTTGCACCCTGCTTTGCAGTACTGGCCAGGTTCGTAGCTCCACGTGACTGTCGGAGAGAGTCATATTTACAGTAATATAGAGTCTAGGCTTCCTCTAAGGGAATGAAGTGAGGGGAGAGAGCAGCTTAGCATTGCTAAAGGTAACTCCCTTCCCTACAGACTTGCTGTGGAATTTGGGCATTTCAAGTTTGAGAAGAAGCACTTGCCATCAAAGCAAAGCAGCCATGCCGACTTACAAAATTAGGACTGTGGGGTCAGGAGAAAGAGGCCTGGAACGGGTAGCATCACCACTAACTTGAAGCTCAGTTACTCAGTTACTTATGACAGGGAAAGGAAAAAGATGGCAGCAGAGACGTTAATTTTTTTTTCCAAAGACTTTTATTAATAAACACCTGGAACATTTAAGAGTCACTATGGGCCTTACTTTACATGGAAGTACTGCTTTATTTGTTCTGCCTCATCTTTCCCAACCATCTAAATGACAGCCCAGCCCTAGCTGTTGTCTCTCTTCCCTACCTCGTTTTCCAGCATAGTGGCACATTTACAATCCATATATGCAATACCTATGCCATACCAATGAGCACCGCTCCATGCGCAAGTTACTACACTAACGCAGCTCTGTTGTAGCCGAGGTGCTTAGCCAGAGTTCCCCTGGGCCACGGAAAGGGGCTCCTGAACACTGTTGCTGTATGATTTCAAGTCAGATGCAGGATCACCAACTTCTCTCAATAAATAAATTTTATCTTCTAACAGGTTCCAGTGTAGCTTTAGATTCTGAAGATAAATAAAAGAAAGTCTTTCAACATGAAGATTGGCCCTGTACTGAAACAGCAAGATTCACAAGACTACAAATTTAAACCATTTAAGAAAAGTAATACTTGAAGCAGAGGAGGAAATACTCCCTGGTTAGGTGCATCCTCTGATGGGAAGCACAGAAGAGACAAAGGTAATAGTCACTGTCTATACATACCTACAGGCCGTACACATGTAACGCACACATGCACATTCATCTGGAAAAGTGAGGATATGACTATGTGACATAGAGTAGTTAGCCTCTATTTCCTCACCTGCTCTTACTGGAGGGGACTTTCCTCACACTGCGCTATTATCCACTCACTTTTAATGAAACTGTCATCTCAAGTCATGTAAAAATGAGAAGACAACACTAGTATGAGCTTAAGATTTGTTCATGTCTAAACTGCATTAAACTTCCTTTGTATTGCAACAGAAAAAGATGTAAGAGAATCTTGCTGAGTAATTGAGCCTCATTCCCTTTGGTACTTGCACAAGCGTAACATGAAATAAATAAAATTAGCATGCTGTCAGGGCAAGTTGTTTTACAAACACAAGTGTTTTAATTTAAATACTAAGGCCTCCACATTCATTAGAGGATTAAATCCTTAAACACAGGGGTTAGTGAAAGGATAAAGCTCATTTGCCTTCCGGTTTTTAAAACCCTGACATGGCAAGAACACCATGACGAGAACACCGATTCCTTTCTTCCTCCCTTGGAGGCTCCAGCTTAACAAGCGCTGAACAGCAAGTGTAACTCCAAACAAGTGCCTGAAATAATGTTTAGTCAACAGAACTTCCTCACCCTTCAATAGCTTCCAGCTTCAAAAGTTTTCTCTAAAATAAAATAGCGATGAGTTAAGACACTGCAATACCAGGTGGCATTCCAGCACATTACAGCAGTCTGTCAGGGTCTTGATTAAAACTAAAGTCACACACCAGCGACAGGTGATCAGAAGGGTAATTGAACGATGGCAGCCTGTTGGGCCCAATCTGCTCTTCAGTCAGCAAGCCCAGGGCTGAGTTCACTTTCAAGGCGTGCTGGGAATACCAGATATAATCCAGCGTGTGCCGGCACTCTCCTGAGGGCCGGATCTTCCAGGTGGTGTACGGGGGCTCTGACTGCCCATCGGGGCTCAGCAGCTTGTACGCACTGTTTAAGTTGAGGCTGGAGTTGGAAAATTCTCTGTAGACCTCCTCGGTTGGCTCCGCGTTGAAGTCTCCGCAGATGATCAGAGGGATCTTCGCACCTTGGGTGATACTCTTCAGGTTCTGGAGAAGATCGCAGCCTTGCGCGGACCGAAACCTCTCCCAGCCAGTACGGGCTTTCAGGTGAGTGACGGCAATGCAGAACAGTCTCCCAGTTTCATTGCACTTCAGCGTCTGAGCTATGGCCACTTGGTTGGTCTTCAGCTTCATGGCGGTTAGCCGGATGTTAGCACTGTTGATGAGCTCAAAGCGGTCTTTGAGGAAAAACAAGGCGCAGCCATCCGGCCCGTTGTTCTGCTCCACGTCTAGGCACGGGGACCACGGCTTTGGGAAGAAAGTACACTGGTAGCCGAGCCGGCTGAGGAGCGGCTCAAAGGTGTCAAAGTAGTGATCGACTTCTTGCAGGCACAAGATGTCAGGCTTGTATGCAAGGATTTCCTCCAGGATGAGGCACTTCCTCTCTTCCCATTTCAGAGCTTCTATGGGGCACCGAACAAAGTTGTCTTTGCCTTCTCCGAGAGCTGAAATTAGCAGGGAGGGGGATGGGGGGAAAAAAAAAAAAAAGAAGTTACAGATAGCTAAAACGGGCTGTCTTCCCCAGGTTTTGCAGAGGCCAGAGGCAAGGCTCGGCTCTCGGGAGCCACCTGCCACCTTGCAGCAGCCAGTAGCTGCTTGCAGCTCCGCACGAGCGCAGGCGGTCTGTCACAGTGCAAGAGGTTGCAACGGGAAGTGGCACGAGGCTTTCGCAACGCTTTGCTTTCTCTGTAAAACACATGCACATCGGTTTACATGCAGGTGATGGGTTTTTCAGGAGTAGCTGCTGAATTGAAGGGTGCCAGGCTTGCCAAAAGGTGTGAGAACCCCTCCTCAAAACACTGAAGTCTCTCCAGAAAAATTAAGTTCCCTTTACAGATACAAGTTAGATTAAAGACTTCTTCCCCCTCTTCCCAAAAGTCACTACACTGTGGGAAGTGCTTCCACATGTGGCTGCCACAGCTTAAGCCTAAGAAAAAACGCAGTGGGATAGGAGTGACTTAACTGCAGAATGTTAAGGCAGTCCCTACGCGGGGGATTTCCCGCACCAAAAGATTTTAAGATGAGGCTGTTGCATAGGTCAATTTACAGCCTTGATTTTAGGGGTCCGAGAAAAAAAACAGTTAAAATTATTTTGAAGAATTAAGAATTCCTGTAACACATCTGAATCCCTGAATAGTTCACCGATAAACTAATTCGAAAACTTGTACAGAAGCTTTACAAAGAATAAAAATTAGGGAAGGATGAGTCTTTCCTGGGGGTTAACAACTATCTAAAAGCAATGGGTCAGCTTTTTGAATATACTGCGTTCAGTTAAGACAGGCATTCAGAACTACCTTTGGCATCTCAGTTGCAAGGAGAGACCTTTTTTCCTTTCCTATAGAAGGGAAGGCAAGCCACCATTTCAAGTGCTGAAAATCTCCCCCTCCCCAGCCCTCAGTTGCGCCTCACGTAATTCACCTCTCTCCCTTTGTTCTGCCAGTGCCAGGCATGCCTAACTACGTAGACACATCTGCATTTAAAGGTGTTCATTGCTGCGTTTGATCTCAAGGACACACCTTGAGCTTGGAGGCAGCTCCTACCTTGGGCAAGGATGTTCCACTGCATGACCCGAATGGGGCGGTGGTTACTGGCAGTGTTTTGCTTCAGGTCCACAAAGTCCCTCTGAAACCGGGGTGGCCGTTTCTGCAGAACGATCTGACATTCCTCCAGCAAATCCTTGGGGTCTATAGGATCCAGCCGCGTTGAGTCCGGCTGCTCCAGGCAGTCCTGGTGCTGGGACACGGCACTGCTGCTCAGCGTCTTGGCGAGCGCGCTGTAGAGCCGGCTGCTGCTGTTTCCCATGGAACACACTGGAAAGGAAAAAATGGCGTTAGAGATGTCCACCGTGACTCTTCTCACCACCTGGGTGCCTTACAGAAAACCTTGTTACAGTGCCAGCGATTTGTGGTTTGTGCAGGAGCCCATTCCTGAATCTGAGATAAAATAAGAAGGATGCAGAGCTAGGGTTAGTTCTGTCCACAGTCTCCTCGTGTTTTGCTTATTATCAGGGGCTGCTAACCTCTGCAGCATGCAAACAGTCTGGTTTAAGACATTGTGCAGGAGTCTTTCGTCCAGAATAGCAGGGCTAAGATTAACTTCTACATGTGGTGCAGGAAACAGAAGAGAGTGTACTTTTTCCCTCCTCACAGAGGAGAGAGCCCAGCAGGTAGACAAATACTGCTCGCTCCTTATTTCATGGGCAGCATTTGCCTCTAATGGAGACGGCGCTCTGCCCGCCCCGGTACCCTGTGCCTATCTGGGATGCGGGATGCCTCCGGGCTGCGGGCCTCCTGCCTGCAGAGCAGCAAGCAGGGTGACTCACCCCCTCGGGTTAATATTTAATAGCAAGCTCGGATACAGCTTCATTTGCCCCAGAAGCAGCAACGTTTTCAGGAGCACGGAGCGGCCGGATGCTTCTGCTGTGCCCCAGCTCGGCAGCTTCCAGCGCACCCCGCGGTCCTGCGATCCTCCCAGGCCCCAGCGACCTCCCGCTCCTTTGGCCATCTTAAGCACACGTCCTGCAAATAAGCCGCTGTCCCCCAGCCCTGTGTCTCCTGCAGGTCCCCCCATCCCACACAGGGTCACAGCTACCACAGGGGTGGGTGCGTGTCCCGCTCCGTTTTGCTCTTTGGCTTACACGCAGGAGGTGGCCACAGCCACCTTAGCAGGGGTTGAGCAGCAGGGTCACCCCTTTCAGACAGCAGCCCTCAGGACTACCGTGCTCTAAAATACCTCCTCCTCCCACTTCACAGGAGCACAACCAGTACCGCGCTGTGCAGCTCTACGTGCCCTGAGGCTTGCTCGCTGCAAACACACAGGAGACTGTTAGCATTGAGGGCAGCTGTGGAGGAGTTTGCACAGAGTTCATGATATTTCTACGCATCTCTGCAACAAGTCCCTGGCGTGGCCGTGCATGCCCCAAGATCTCCTCCAGCATTTCCTCAGGGGGAGGGGTTTGCTCTGAAGTGCCACCCTTGCCACAGCGCGTGGGGAGTACTCGGAAGGAGGCTGTGTTTGCGCTTTTCCGTGCTTGGCGCTCTGCCCAAGTAGCGTGCCCGGACACTTGGGTTTCCCCTCAGACACAGGCAGGAAGAGCAGCGCTCGTACCACAGCGACTTGGGCAACAGGCAACGCTAACAGAATTTTGCTGTTGTCTCACCTTATTTACTCTGAATGCCTTTTGCAAAGGTAATCTTGAGCAAAAGAACTTCAGTTTTGCAATGCTGTTGGGCCCCAGCAGTTTTTAAGTAAGTTTATTTGTACCTTTGAGTTGCTTAAAAATGGAAGAGACTTGTTATGTCATGCTCATATCTTGCGGTAGATTTGGGGTGCTACCCAACACACTTGCTCGTTCAGCCTTTGCTAGCCTGAACTACAGCATCACCGTATGATAGCGACAGACCTGGCTAGAGGGGAAGGTAGGAAGATGGAAGCCTTAACAGTTCAATAAAGATACTTAGAAGGAGTAAAAGATAAAAGAAAGACCCTGCAGCAGAAGCCTCATGTCCTTGTCTTTAGGAAAATGGGTACTTTTAAAGACACTAAAAAAATACTTGCTTTAACATATGTTTTGTACGTGTAAGCCAGTGGAACAGTGCCTCTGAACAGTTCTAAGAAAGTCGTAAACTGGGAATTTAAATTGGATGTGGGACGTCCCTCCCCATCCCCATCCTTTCAGTTAAAGTTTAAAGTACCAGAGGAGTTCCTCAAACTGAGATGCGAGCTTGGGCTCACAAGCATGAATGTCTTTCTAGGGGGACTGTGTTTAAAGCGTTTCAGTTTCCGCAGTCTGCCTCGGTTTACAATTCTTGTCAAGAAGCCAAGTAGTGCTGAAGTAGAAGAAATGCCATTTAACAGTGAGGGAAGGAGGCCCAAACACGAACTCCCTAAGCAGATCCCCAACACGGCTGCGAGGGGACGGGGAGCCGGAATGAAAGAGTGCTCTGTGCTGCTTACGGAAGGCTCCGGCTTACACACCACCAGAGCTGCCAGGCAGCCATGCAGAAACTCAAAGAAATCAACAGAGCTTTTAATGAAAGCTCCACAGGAGCTCCTCGCCTATTTTTGGGGTAGGTACAGCCCCTAGTTAAGTGCTGCAACTGGAGAGCAGTACACGGTGCTTTCTGTTCCCTCGGGGATGCCGTCGGCATCAGCCCCGCACGCCCTTGCCCTTCCCTCCTGGCACAGCACCAGCCGGGCCGTGGGATGCCCATGCGGAGGCAGTGCCTTCTGCGCAGCCCCTGCCGGGCCATGGATGAACGTGGCTCGTGCAGGGCTCTCCAAGGGAATAACGGAGAGTTATTCTGCTCCAAGAAGCCATTAGCTAGAGCCTAGGCAGCTCATTGCTTGACCCGAATCAGAGGGAGGATGTTGAAAGGGACCAGCTAGGTGCAACGCATCTGGAGCCAAAAGCCTACCCTAAAGCTCTGAGCAGCTCATGGCTGTTACAGCGGGATGAAGTCTGTGTTCAGTCATGCTGCAGACAGAGCCAGAGTATTGTCTAAATCTCACCGTCCCTGGGGTCATGGGGTGTCCAGCCCTTTATGGGGAGTCAGGCATAGCCTAACCTGCATGGGATGCGCTACAGCCCAGATCTGACAGCTTTTGAAGTCAGCAATGTCTCAGGAAGGAAAAAGAGCTTCTGTCTGCTTTTGAGAGCCCAGGGAAGGCTGGCTGAAAGAGAGCCTGGGCTGTAAATCAAATGCTTTCAGGCCTGTTGTAGGTAGCTTGGGAGTCCTTGGCTGAAGAGGGACTCCAGCGGGAAGACTCCAGCTTAAGATGACTGATGAACCGCGCAAATTCTTTGTCCCCAAAGTGCTGAAACCATCACAGCACAGACTGAATTGTACCGCAGAACAGGGACCAGACCAGCAACCCGAACATTGAAACTCCAAGCACAAAATCCGTTTGTTACTTTTGCAATGCTTAATGTGTCCGTGGCAGCGAGGCAAGTACAAGGGCACCATTCTGAGATCCTTACAGTCAGAGTTAAATGACCTGTAACTTGCTGGCATAAGGTCTGCTGCCGGCGCTGTGACACCGTGGTGCTGGTGTATGCAGAGGAACAAGCGGACTCCTGAGCTTGCACTTTAGCAGTGGGTGGTGAACATGGAAGCGGTTCTCTTGCTGCAATGTTGCAATAGGGAACGTCAGCTCAGCGATTACTATTCAAGGTGCTTAAAATAATAATGATAAAAAAAATCCTTCCTCTCAGCAAGGGTGGTGCCTCAGCACAGTAAGGGCAGGGGAAGAGTTTAAACTGTTCATTAAAATTCAGAAGAACAAGGCACAAAGTTCAGGGTTCTTGTGTCATCTAGCAATAGCACAGAAGAGATGAACTTCTGGGACCTCAGGCAATGAGCAGTCATGGGCTTTATTTTAAGGACTTTGCTTCAAAGATGAGGGCTGCAGCAGGGTATCAGAGCCAGGGCCCTTCCCTTTTTGGTAAGGTGAACAGCGTTCTGGTTTGCCTTCTTTTCATCTCCTACCTCCCAGCACTGCTTTTGGCTGAGAGCCCCCACCTTGCTCCCTGCAGGGATTTCAGTGCCAGGTGAGCAGCCCCACCACACCTGCAGCCTGGTCCCGTAGCTGCATCAGCCTCCTCAGCCGAGGAGGCCGGCAGCAGCCAGAGGCCCTCCCCGCAGCCCCAATTCTAGGAGAAATTTGGCAGACGCCATCCCCACGTGACAAATCCTACGCTACAGGGTATCACGCTACATGTACAGCCTTGTTTGGGCCAGCAGTGGGATCGCAGCCCTGGGCCACCCGCGCTCAAAGTGGCGGGTGCTGCTGCTTGGAGTTCGGGTCCTGATTTTGGCACCTAGGCCAGTCTTATGTAGAGGGGAGTTGGGATCCTCATATGGGGATTCGGAGAGCTCATCGCAGCAAGGGGGGTGCTGCCTAGGCAACACCAGGAAGGAGAGGGAACCTCACTCACATCCTGCCCCGAGTGATGGACAGAATCAGTACTTGGCACAAGCTCTGGAAACGCTTTTTCTCACGAGCGCTCTAATCATGAGCTCAGCTCCGCCAGCTCGCAGGCACATACGCTCCTCTTCCCTGTAGCTCCGTGAAGCTTCCATCCTGCCATTTGGCATCCTGGCCTGGCTTCATTGGAAGCACCCTACCCCAGCCGGGCTTGTACACCCCTCCTGTAACAGCACCGACAGGGAACGGACACGCTTCACCCCAACCCCAGCTGAGGATGGTAGGGAAAAGCAGATCTCCTGCAGGCCAGGAAAGCAATACAGCCTCAGGTACTGCATAAAGGGTGTCGGACATACAACCTCTCCCACCAGCACGGCCTGCAGCGAAGGTGGCCGCTGCCCCAGCCTCCACCGGCAGCCGCTCCTCCCGGC